CTAATTAAGTTTGTTGGGATAATTCTAATTTAATCCCAGCCCAACTGAGAATTCTTCGTAAGGCTGTGATGTAAGTGGCGTTTGAACTGTCGAACTTGTTCGGTAACAGCTGTATAGGTTAAGAGATCCCATCGGTGCAATAAAACCTAGCATGGTTAACTAGTTCATTAGTTACTAGTCGATCCCAAGCCCGGATAAACATAGAAATTTAGGCACATAACTAGCAGTCCGATACCGGAAAACCAATACAATCGCTAAACAAACTTCAAAACACAAAGGAAATATAAAACATAAAATTAAACATATTCCTCGCTGAAAATCTGAAAGATGAAATAACACCAGTTAATGGAAGCCTACGTAACGCCAACTAACCGATGTGTTCTCGCTTCCCTAGATGAAAAAAAGTAAACAATGAGACATGGAATGTCCCCAGGATGTTGGAAGCTGACTGGCTGGCAATGTTGCACAGATTGCAAAAGAGATGAGGAGGTATGGCATAGATGTGATGGGAATCTGCACAAGTAGATGGAATGGAAGTGGACAATCCAAACTGTGACCTAGAGAATCAATAGTCTACTCCGATATTGTCACCTACACGACAACCACGAGCACACTGAGTTTTCGAGTGGCTATCATGATGTCCCCTCACAACAGCATCGAAGTCTCTCTCTCTCTCTCTCATGCAGTGCGAACCAATCTCCTCCACGACCAGGATCATGACAGCAAGATGGATTCAACTCAAAAGGAAGGAAGGAGAGTCACAATCATACAAAGCTACGCCACGCACCTACAAATAATGCAGATGGAGAGAAGAAGGAGGAATTCTACAGACAACTGCAATCAGTAATGGACAAGATCCCACCCCGGATGGCGACATCGAAATCCACTCTGATGGGTGGGGTAACATGAATGCCAAATTGAGAGCAGACAACACAGGAAGAGAAATCATCATGTGTCGAGAAGCAATCGGTGAAATGAATGCGAGTAGAGAACTGTTTGGAGACTTCTGCGCATTCAACGATTTGGTGATTGGAGGCAGTGTGTACAAACACAAGGATATTGACAGGGCAGAGACATGGATTTGGTTACACCAGATAAACACACTACACTAAATATCAGATCGACTTCATCTCGATGTGAAGAAAGTGGACACGCACCTCACTGGACACAAGATCAAGAAGGAGGGCAGATGTGCAAGCAACGTTTTGAACCACTATCAAGTGTAAGGAACCCACCTTCAAATTCAAGTAGAAAGCCTTCAGACAAGTTGGTGATAGACTACAGTTCAAGTTGAACACCCAGAACAGAAACTGGAGGAGAAAACTACAAAAGACATCTTCACGTCACTCAGTGATGAGGAAGAAATCGGAGGAATTAGGCAACATTTTCGAAGAAACGTGTGTGGAAGAACACTGGAACACTTTGAAACAGAGATGGAGACAAACCTGCATAACCGTACTAATAATGAAGAAGCAAGACAAGGAGTAGATATCAGCGGATACACGGAAGCTGATAGAGGAGAGAGAGAAAGATGGTGAAGCAGAAGATGAACCAGTTCAGTGCAGTGCAAGGATGAACAATGAAAAGGGGAACTGAACACAACACATAAAACATTACACTGAACAAAGAAGTGAAGAAGAGTGAGCACAAAGACAAAGAACACTTCGACGACACACTGGTAAGTGAAGCAGAACAGGCTGCTACAGGTAGGACACACCTGACAACACTATACCAAATGAAGAAGTGACTTTCTTGCAAGGAAGAGATAAACACACATGAAACCAATATGCGTTGAAAGATAGTGAGGGAAAACTAGTTAGCACCAAAGAGAGAGGAAAAACAAAGGAAACAATGAAATGAACACTTCAAAAATCTCTTGAATCGATCACCACCAACACCAGCACCACCACCAGCAACTCGTCATGGAATATCACCAGCATCCCAGCCACAGAACTATCCGACAAAAGCAGAAATGAAGTCCTGGACGCCATATTGTCGCAGACAGGCGGTAAATCAGAAGGACCAGATAAAATTCCATCGGAAGCATCTAAAGCAGATGCAGAAACAACAGTGGACATGATCACACTACATCAATACTGCAGAAGGTTTGGAAGGAAAGTTATCTACACGGTGGAAGAAGGGCTACCCCGTCAAACTCCAAACAGAGGAGACCTTAGTCATTGCAACAACAAGAACCGCCACGGAATCATCCTCCTCTCCATCTCAAAGGAAATATCAAGCCACATCATCCTGGAGAAATTAAAACATGTACTCGATTCAAAATACAACCGGAAGAGACTGGCTAGCTGGCTGACTGACTGACTGACTGACTGACTGACTGACTGACTGACTGACTGACTGACTGACTGACTGACTGACTGACTGACTGACTGACTGACTGACTGACTGACTGACTGACTGACTGACTGACTGACTGACTGACTGACTGACTGACTGACTGACTGACTGACTGACTGACTGGCTGGCTGGCTGGCTGGCTGGCTGGCTGGCTGGCTGGCTGGCTGGCTGGCTGGCTGGCTGGCTGGCTGGCTGGCTGGCTGGCTGGCTGGCTGGCTGGCTGGCTGGCTGGCTGGCTGGCTGGCTGGCTGGCTGGCTGGCTGGCTGGCTGGCTGGCTGGCTGGCTGGCTGGCTGGCTGGCTGGCTGGCTGGCTGGCTGGCTGGCTGGCTGGCTGGCAACCAATCAACCAACCAACCAACCAAGAACACATCACCCAACAAATATACAGAGGAAGAGAGTGGAGATACATCGTGTTGGGCATACACTGAGAAAACCATTCGGAGACATAACGTGCCAAACCAGGCTGTCTACTGGAAGTCAAATGGGAAACGACCAGTTGGCGTCGGAGGTGAGTCTGACATAGAGGAGATGGTATGAGGAAGAAATTAAAGGTTGTGAGCAGTCATGGAGACAGGTTGAGAAGACCACAGACAGTAAAGTGCAACGGAGATGTGTTACTGAAGCCGCATCTTCCACTAGGAACCCATGACACAAACAACAATTATCAATAAACCGGTGCATTCAGACAAAATAATCTGGTTCACCAAATCCACTCCAATGATCACAACGTCAAATACATAGGTGAAGGAAGTCGACCAGGGTCAAGTATAGAATAACACAGCACAAAATATTAGGTGAATACAGCTCAGAAGAAATGCTCACTCATAGCTCTGCACACAATTATACACAGTCACACAGTAGGGTGGGTTAGAGTGACAGCGTTGAAGACTAAGTTAATTGGGTGGAGGGAGGGAGAGATTGATAACCTAATCTTTGTTTATCACAACAACACCAAACACATGCAGTGAGAGGAATGATTGTGCACCTGTCTCAGATATATGGAAATTCCACTATCCTTGTCATCACGAGGAAGGAGAGAAAACTGGGAGTATAGAAGCTGTGTCTTAAAGTTGTGGAATTACTTGATATGACAATGGAAAATAAATAGTGGGCGAAAGACTATGTAGTCAATGATATAGTTTTACAGTGTGGCATCTCGAATAAACAGAGTGAAATGGATTACGATCTACCATAGTGTTCAAGTTTTACTCCTATACCATTCCAAAATCTTTTGAACGCAACATGCTTCTTGGTACTCAGAAATAGAGGAAGTTCATCGGTCGGAAAGTTTCAACTTGAGATCAGCTTTTCTTCTTACATGTACACGACAAACTATCAAAGCTCGCGGAACACGAAACCACTATCTTTGTATTTCCTCATGTTGGGATTAACTCACTGACAGAATAATTACATGAATAGCTATCATTTTGATAGGATATTTAGAAAAAGTTACTTATTTTCAGTAGTTAGTCAAAAACATCTCTACTGTGCACGTTTAAACACAGGTGTAAAGTGATCCAATCCAAAAGTAATGTGAGTATGCATCTTTAAAACCTAATGATTTCACGGTATCAACTTAGAAACTTCAAGTGAATGCAGAGAAAACGGAGGTGAGGAAGATACCCAGTCAGTACCTGCAACACAACCAACAACAACAAGCACCATCAACAGGAGAAACTTAAAGGAAGTAGCCTCTTTTACCTACCGACCTAGCAGCGTCGTTTCAACCACAGGCAGCGGCACAGATGAGGACGTGAAAGCAGACAGGATCGGAACAGCAAGACAGGCTTTCATTAATCTGAAATCAGTGTAGAGATCTACTGCACTCATGCCAAAGAACAAGATCCCGATTTTCAACACCAATGTAGCTGGTTGGCCTGGCAACGAACCAACCAAGAACCTATCACCCAACAAATATACAGAATGAAGTGGGGATGTATTGTGTTGGGCATACACTGAGAAGACCGAGTAGGGACATCATGCGCCAGGCCAGGCTGTCAAGTGGAAACTCAAGGGGAAACGACGAGTTGGGCGTGCTAGGCGAGGGTGACATGGAGGAGATGGTTTGAGGAGAGAGCTTGTGGGTAGTCATGAAGCGAGGTTCAAAAGACTGCAGAAGCTAAAGTAGAATGGAGGAGTGCTAGTGAAGCCCTATATTGCACTAGGAACTCAAGGGAAAAATAATAATAATAATAACTTATAAACCATAAATCTATATGAAATCCTTTGATAAAATCAGGACTAGACAACATGAAATTGGTTGCACTCCCGTGAACAATCAATACATGTAAGCCAGTCCTACAGGAGGTCAGTCGTGGCCCAAATAGCTCAGTGGTAAAGTCGCTGACTACAACACTGGGTTGTGCGGGCTCGAATCTCAGGCGGGATATCAGTTCCGTCGAGGTTGCAGATACACCTCGCTGACGAGTGCCAAAAATCAAGAAACCTAGGTCAAGCAGGGCTTCCTGCCGATTGCCTCCTCCAACCAACTAACATCTACTAATGTGCACCACGATGCTGAGCTTCCTAGCTTGGTTGCCACATTACAAATATGATCGATAGAATTCGGTTTGCACTCAGGACTAGACAACATGAAATTGGTTGCATTCCCGTGACTAATCAATACATAAAATCGATTTACCTGCTTCTGGTCCATATGTTCTCTCCAGATATTCTTCCCACTTAACTTTAGGTTGGTCAGTTGGATTTACTTCTTTCCATTGACGATCAGTACTGTTCATTTTTGCTTTTTCAGCCACATATTTAATCCAAAAATTAATTCTTCCTCTGTAATTCTTCCATTATTATCTTTATCAATTTTTTTAATAATATTTCTGATAAAACAAGAATAATTTGTTTTGAACAAAAAAGTTCTAGAATAAGTAGCTTACTTCAACTTTTGTTCACTTTCATCGGGTGTAAGTTGAGAAAATTCTCTAGCAACTTCTTCGCCTAAAAATGCATTATGATCAAATTCAATATCATGTCGTTCAGGATCATCAGCAAAATGTTCTGTATCCCGTCGACTCTGTTATTATTTCCAAATACATACAAGAAGATTTATTAACATACCACTGGTTCTAGATGTGGTTTTGTAAAGGTATAATGTATAAAAGTAAATAATATGGCATAACTATAGAAAGACATGATCATGATTACTACCAATTTGAAAGATAAAATGTGTTTACCCTAATTCAATCTATAAGCATACAGTTTGGTAAATGAATACGCTGTTCTGATTGGTTGATTTTTCCTGCCTGTAATTGTATACACATATCTATTTGCTGGCAGAGGTGATGCACAAAATAATCGATATTCTGACTGGGGAAGGAAATTAAAACTAATTTTATCGATCATTATTTAATACTGCCTATGTAAGAAGGACATAAAGAAATGGGAGACTGTGAAATTCACTTAGAATGTATTCTATTTATTCATATAATGAAAATATTTGGAGGCATTAATAATCACATTTGTATCTCTGAGTGTATGGATAAACAGATAAAAGGTTGAATTTTACTAAAATAAACCTTAAATATTGTTCAGCCAGTGAGATTTGTGTTATTCTACTTTCAAAGGATTGATGACATTTTATGAAACAAGTCATGGCAACTTAACTGTTTTACAGTCTGAACATCAAAACATATACTGCACATTTAAAGTAATTTTAACATCAGACTATTTGGAAAAGACGATTAAGATTTTATCCTGTTATTATTTGTCCCTTGGGTTCCTAGTGGAATGTAGAAATTCAGTAACCCGTCTCCATTTCACTCTAGCCTCTGCAATCTTTTCAACCTCACTTCACGACTACGTACAAGCTCTCATTTCTTCCTCACACCATCTCCCCCACGTCACCCACGCCTCCTACGTCCAACTCGTCGTTTCCCATCTGTGTTCCACTGGAGTGCCTGGCCTGGCGCATGATGTCCTCAATCGGTCTTCTCAGTGCATGCCCAATCCATCTCCGTTACTCAGTAATGCCTGGTCTTATGTTGATATTGATTGAGTGATTGATTCATCCTTATAGTCATTTTCCAAGCTTTGACCTAATTTGTATCACTATTTGTCTGTCTGAACACTGATTTACAACGTCATGATATCCTGAACATTCGTACTATTCCTTATACCATCACTAATTTAACTATTCTAAGGTACGAAATCAGCCTGTTGCCTCACAAATTAACTTGATCGGTTTATATTATAAAAAGGAGCTAAATGCGGTATACCTGAGAGTAAAGCTTGAAGAGGATCCAACTGAAGACAATATTGTTAACTTACATGAAACCAGTGTGGAGATCTTAAGCACTCGGCATAAACCATGAACACCATCCGCATTTTCAACACCAATTCAGACAAGTCAGTGGTTCCATCTGATGGTTGAGAGACTTGGCACGTCACGAATAACATTTCCAACAAACTACAGATATTCAACAACAACAACTGACTACTCTGGCTCATTACTGAAGATCAGATGACCAGAATAATAAGAATAAGCAAGAAGGAACTGTGGCTGGCTGACCTGGCAACGAACCAATGAAGCAAGAACCTATCACTCAACAAATATGCAGTGGAAGGAAGTGGAGATGGATTGGGAATGCACTGAGAAGACCGATTGGAGACATTACGCTCCAGGCCAGGCCATCAAGTGTAACTCAGATGGGAAACGACGAGTTGGGCGTGCTAGGTGAGAGTGAAATGGAGGAGATGGTGTGAGGAAGAAATGAGAGCTTGTACGTAGTCATGAAGTGAGGTTGAAAAGATTGCAGAGGCTAGAGTGAAATGGAGACGGGTTACTCAAGTCCTATATTCCACTAGGAACCTAAGCGACAAATAATAATAATAATAATAATAATAATAATAATAATAATACATGTCCTGTTATAACCTACCTGGTTGTGTCTAGCAAAGGAAACCAGGAAGCGCATTTTGTACTACTTGGGACTCGTCAGGTGAACATACCTGCAACCTAGTGAGTGGTGTTGTTCTCACTGAGACTTGAACTAGATGTCTCCTGTTATTATTGCCTAAAACGGCGTACAGACTTTGGAATGATATAGGAGTAAAACTTGAGCACTATGGTAGATCGTAATTCCATTTCACTCTGTTTATTCGAGATGCCACACTGTAAAACAGTATCATTGACTACATAGTCTTTCGCCCACTATTTATTTTCCATTGTCATATCAAGTAATTCCACAACTTTAAGACACAGCTTTTATACTCCCAGTTTTCTCTCCTTCCTCGTGATGACAAGGATAGTGGAATTTCCATATATCTGAGACAGGTGCACAATCATTCCTCTCACTGCATGTGTTTGGCGTTGTTGTGATAAACAAAGATTAGGTTATCAATCTCTCCCTCCCTCCACCCAATTAACTTAGTCTTCAACGCTGTCACTCTAAACCCACCCCACTGTGTGACTGTGTATAATTGTGTGCAGAGCTATGAGTGAGCATTTCTTCTGAGCTGTATTCACCTAATATTTTGTGCTGTGTTATTCTATACTTGACCCTGGTCGACTTCCTTCACCTATGTATTTGACGTTGTGATCATTGGAGTGGATTTGGTGAACCAGATTATTTTGTCTGAATGCACCAGTTTATTGATAATTGTTGTTTGTGCCTGAGTTCCTAGTGGAAGATGCGGCTTCAGTAACACATCTCCGTTGCACTTTACTGTCTGTGGTCTTCTCAACCTGTCTCCATGACTGCTCACAACCTTTAATTTCTTCTCATACCATCTCCTCCATCTCACCCTCACCTCCGACGCCCAACTGGTCGTTTCCCATTTGACTTCCAGTAGACAGCCTGGTTTGGCACGTTATGTCTCCGAATGGTTTTCTCAGTGTATGCCCAACACGATGTATCTCCACTCTCTTCCTCTGTATATTTGTTGGGTGATGTGTTCTTGGTTGGTTGGTTGGTTGATTGGTTGCCAGCCAGCCAGCCAGCCAGCCAGCCAGCCAGCCAGCCAGCCAGCCAGCCAGCCAGCCAGCCAGCCAGCCAGCCAGCCAGCCAGCCAGCCAGCCAGCCAGCCAGCCAGCCAGCCAGCCAGCCAGCCAGCCAGCCAGCCAGCCAGCCAGCCAGCCAGCCAGCCAGCCAGCCAGCCAGCCAGCCAGCCAGCCAGCCAGCCAGCCAGCCAGCCAGCCAGCCAGCCAGCCAGCCAGCCAGCCAGCCAGCCAGCCAGCCAGCCAGCCAGCCAGCCAGCCAGCCAGCCAGCCAGAATTCCTTTTTGCTTATTCGTATTATTCTGGCCATGTGATCTCATCTTCAGTATCGAATGAGCGTTGGTGGCAGCTGTTGTTGTGACGTGTGTCTGTAGTTTGTTGGAAATGCTTTTCGTGACGCGTCAAGTCTCTCAACCATCACGTAGAAGCACTGACTTACTTGACTGAATTAGTGTTGAGAATCCGGATGTTGTTCACGCTTTATGCTGAGTGTAGTGAAGTGCAGTGCAGTAGATCTCCACACTGATTATTTCAGGTGAATGCAGGAAGGCCTGTCTTGGTGTCTTTCCGATCTCCTGTGCTTTGACGTCCTCATGTGTGCTGATGCCACGACGTGTAGTTTATAGGATACTTCGTACGTGGTAGGTGAAATAGACAACTTCCTTTAGATTTCTCCCGTTCATGTTGATTGGAGCTTGTTGTTGTTGACGTGGTTGTTGGTGCTGTTGGTTGGTTATCTTCATCACCTCTGTCTTCTCTACATTCATCTGAAGGGAGTCCCGTCTTCCTTCGCTACCTCACCCCCTCTCGCCTCGCCTTATCTGTCTACTTGTTTGTCTTTGCCTGAAGATTTTCGAGTTTGTGAGTCAAGACATTACACATAATTGATCACCAATGGCTAAATCGAAATCTTCTTCTGGCGTCTTTCCATTCTTCCAGTCAGCGTATGCCAATCTTCTCACAATTTGTTGTATGATCCAGTCCAGTTCAGTCGACCACAATCAGGAAGATCATTGATGAAATAAGGTGACAACCTTGTCTTACTCATATCCCCTGTTTGCACTTCAAAGTCGTCACTGAGCTGAGCTTTCCATTGTGAATCACTTGTCATGTGGCGCATGCGCACAGCAGATGGCTGTTGAATGTGATTGATAAATGTTTGTGTCAGTGAAAGTGTAGTGTTGAAGCAGCTGTCTGCCAAATTACTTCTCGGTCGACGCTGTCTAAGGCCTCTTCAAAGTGGATGAAGTCGATGTAGAGAGTTGAGTGGACAGTCATTCTATACCCTGTTCTATGATTATGTGTAGTGTAGCGTTGCAATTTGATTCGCACATGAATTGATCTTCCTGAATCCAGCCAGCCAGCCAGTCTTTTCCGGTTGTATTTTGAATCGAGTGCATGTTTTAATTTCTCCAGGATGATGTGGCTTGATATTTCCTTTTAGGTGGACGGAAGCATGATAACGTGGCGGTTCTTGTTGTTGCAATGACTAAGGTCTCCCTTGTTTTGGAGTTTGACGGGGTAGCCCTTCTTCCACTCGGTAGATAACTTTCCTTCCAAACCTTCTGCAGTATTGATGTAGTGTGATCATGTCCTCTGTTGTCTGTGCATCTGTTCTCGATGCTTCTGATGGAATTCCATCTGGTCCTGCTGATTTACCGCCTGTCTGCAACAATATGACGTTCAGGACTTCGGCTTTTATCGGAATGGTTTGTATTCATTGGTAATTCTGTGGCCGGGATGCTGGTGATATTTCATAACGAGTTGCTGGTTGCGGTGGTCGTGCTGTTG